TGTATTGACTTATGACTATATTTTCATTTATCTGTATGTATCGCAATTCAATTTCTTATTTTATATAATTTTCGTTCTTAAAAATTGAAATGTTACATATGTCTTGCATTGATATAATTAATATTCTATTTATAATTATATTTTCATATCACAATATGTATTGACACGCATTCTAAGAAATTAAAATAAATGAGCGCATAAATGCACGATGGTTGAAATTTGGGATTGATTTATGACCTTACCCAAAACCCAAAAAATAGAAAAGGTCACTAAAGTAACTTCATACTGATTTTCCTTTAGCCCAATTAAAGCTTATTTATATATTTAAATTTCAAAGTTTCATGATTTTTAATTTTGTTGGTATTAATTATTAAAAAAATAAAATTTAACGTCATCAAAATGCACCATTTTAGCTGTCTGCCTGCCCCCTTCAAACCCAAATAAACCCTCTCTCTCCAAAACCACAACTCCCACGCTTCTCTCTCCCTTTCTCTTTTCTCTCTACGCTCTACACTTCCTTCCCAAATAAAGCAAACTTTAAAAAAAGAAACAGTTATGGACGCGCCAGAATTCTTTCAAGCAAGCAGCTGTTCTTCTCAATTAGCGCCTGAAAAACCAGCGTCCATCGCTGACCATTTCATCGTGGAAGACTTGCTCCATTTTTCCAACGAGGATGCTGTCATAACTGAACAAACGTTCGATTCCTCAGCTGCTGGCCATTCCACGGATTCTTACACCGTTACCGTCGTCGACAGCTGCAATTCGTCATCGTTTTCCGGTTGCGAACTCATTTTAGTTGGCGGTATTGCTTGCCGTGGTTTTACTGATGGTCACTCCTCGGCTCACTTTATGTGCCGGTAATTTCATCCCCCTCCCCGTGTACATGCAATAAATTAATTTGGAACTATATTTCTTCGTGATTTTGGTTCGAATTTTAAAGATACGGTTGCAAGTAAATAATTTACGTATTTTCTACTTTTTGATAATTTTCCTTACACCCAAACAAAGATAAAAAGGCATGTGCATGGCAAGCGCAAATTGGTTAAAGGTGCGTGAATAGCTTTACGGAAAAAAACTGCATGTGAAGACGAAATACTTGTGTTAATAAGGAGTAATTTTTTATTCTTTCATGTACAGTGCGACAATTTAACTGAGCTTGAGTGGCTGTCAAATTTCGTTGAGGAATCGTTTTCAAGTGATAACCAACAAAAGCAGCAGCTATTATCAGGAATGAACATTCGACCCGACGACGCATTACAGACCCTAGGATTCCATACCGTTGTGCCCACCCAAATTAATGACACCATTGATAACGGCGAAAACAACCACGGTAACAATACCGACAACCCAATTTTCAATCGGGATATGTCGGTTCCCGCCAAGGCCAGAAGCAAACGCTCTCGGGCAGCGCCATGCAATTGGGCCTCCCGTCTCATTCTTCTCGGCTCATCACCTTCATATTCCGAGCCTGACATCGTCGTCCCGTTGCAAATGCCTCCGTCAAACCAACCCGGCAAAAAGCCCGTCAAAACGACGTCGTCGAAGAAGAAAGATGGTGGTGTGGCCATTTCGGATGAGCGGAAGTGCCTGCACTGCGCTACGGATAAGACGCCGCAGTGGAGGACTGGTCCCATGGGTCCCAAAACACTATGCAATGCGTGTGGGGTGAGATACAAATCGGGGCGACTTGTGCCAGACTACCGACCCGCTTCGAGCCCGACGTTTGTTCTCACTAAACATTCAAATTCTCACCGTAAGGTGCTTGAGCTTAGGCGGCAGAAGGAAATGTTAAGGTCTCAACAGCAACATCAATAACAATTCATGCAGCACCATCATCAGAACATGGTTTTTGATGTATCCAACGGTGATGATTACTTGATCCACCAACACGTTGGCTCTGATTTCAGGCAGCTCATTCTAGAGTAGACAACTTCAATTAAATTTGAGTCCTTGAATTTTCCCCCCAGAACTAATTTAGTCACTGAAATCTAGTTGTTTTATTTTTTTTGATAATTTCGTAGACTAATCGTCTCTTGAGTTGGACTTTTTCCGGCCTAATTTGGCAAACTCTATAAACCCAATTTTCTTACTTGAGGCTATTGAATTTAATCCTTTTCTTTTTCAATTTTTATTCTTCTTTTGACTTCCACCATTAGTGTGACCTTTAAGCTCCAGTATATATACATAATATAATATATGTTCCAAGATGCATATAAATATATATTACCTAGATGTCCTTATGTACCCCAATATTAATCAATTGCTAACCATTAGATTGGAACTACTACAATTAATTTTAAAAGTTCGAATCTTGAACCTTCAAAGTGGTCCCAATGGTTAAGAAATTTTGTTCTCCCTTGATCTGGATTTGAGCTGCATAGTCTAAGTTTTTAAAAGTTCGAATCTTATATATAACTAATATTGAAATTTCTAAGCTTACTTAACTTTATGCATGAATACATCAATACCTCCCCAAGCTAGTGGAAATGTGATTTGATATCACTCAAAACAATTTTAATAAAGAAAATGTTCGATTTTTTCATTCTTCTTATCAAGCGCAACAATAGGAAGAAAATTTTAATTTTTTTCTTTATAGCTTTCCAACCTTTAATCTTCCTATTGTTAATTAATTAATTAATTTAGTTTGCATGAATTGGTACACCTCACATGGAGTTTTTGTTTTTCTGAATTGACTGAAGACACACGAAACGTAGTCTTCGGGGTTCATCCCCACCTGCAGATTATTGTAAAAGCGTACATTTTTCAAGGGCTCTATTTGTATAGGATTAAAAATCCTAGTTACAAGGGGATAAGGTCAATGCTTAGCCAAAATTTTGAATGTTTAGAAGGTTAATGTGCAAGCAAGCGATACACGGACTATTATGGGAACAAGAGAATCAGGCGGCAGATACATCTGATTATTTTAAGTGAATATTACTATACCCAATTATCAACATGAATTTCAGTGAAATGAAACGCTGATGATGAAGTAGTTTTTAAGTTTCACATATATACAGAGAATCCTTACCCCATTACATAGGGGAATAAGGGTCAACTAATATATACAGAGAATGTTTATGAAATCAATGCCGATACCATAACTGTTAGCCTCGTTTTCTGCGAATACCATTTCCCCTTCTTCCCTTTGTTTTGCACAACAACTTCAAGAATGAACTTCCATGATTATGAAAGAAAAAAAGGAAAAGTTTTTGTCGAAACATATATGGAAATTCAGGTTTTGATGAATATAATATATAGGAATTAGGTTTTCAAGATGTGGTTGATTTTCAAAATAGAACTTATTCCATGACAAAAAAGCATAAATATAGTAAACCATGCAGCATGTGATGCGAATAAGGATTGGGATCCAGCAGAGAGATTTTAAAAAGAAAAGAAAATATATGAAACCTGATCAGTCATGAGCTACAATATTCGTTACCGATGCTACTGTCTATGCACGATCCTAGGTAATGCTAATCCCATAGGCCTGCCAAATCAGTTTTTAATTAATCGTATAAATACAATATTCTCAACACATTAACCATTTCCTCATTTCCTTTGTCTTGTTTGATAAAATCAACGAAATAACAGAGGTTATTCTTGTAGTAGGTCAGTTGTTAATATGTATATATGTTTTCGCAGACGTATTTATATAATCAATTAATTTTGTGTGAAAACTGAAAAAGGAAGCAAAGTTTGCGTTGTCACATGCCTTCTCCTACTCTCTAGTCTCTTCCCTCCGCATGCAGTTAATATTTTTTTTTTTGAAATCCCTCGGTACTCAAGAAATGTAATATTTATTTTACTTTGGAGAAAAAATTATGATTTTAGAACGTTATGTCTCAATATGAGCAGAGTTTGGTTAGCTTGGATTATTATTTCTAATTAAAGCTCTCTCTACTCTACTTTGATATGATCAGGAAACTTGAATGCTCCTGTACGAGAGAAGGATACCAAATTCATTGTTATTAGAAATATTGAGATATGGGAATAAATAATAGTGTTGTTATGAAAACATGGGCATCCATGCAGAGTGGTAATATTTCCATTTCGAATAGTAAAGACTGTCTGCTTTTGGCGACCAGTTTTGCTGTCAATGTCTTTGCATTTGGACAACCTGCAAGTTTCACTTTCAGCTCTCTTTTCTTTGGCATAAAGTGGCACTAACATGGGAAGTTGGAAGCTATCATTTAAACCAACTTCTTAACATGCTCTTGTTACTAAATATTATCATACTTATTACGGAAACATTTTCTTTTCATAGACTATATCTTTTCTGGGGAATTTTTGGAAGTCAATCTCCTTATTAGGTTTTTTTCCCCAGATAATGCATAAACCTAATGTTTATGTTTTTTACTTTGATTGAGTAGCAGGGTATTGAACATGATCAGTACAAGCGCAATGAAGTAAAGAAAAATGTAACTTCATATAACTTAAAAAAGAACATGGACTGATGGATTCTTTGATCTAGATAAAACAGGATAAGCAGACAGGGAGGGTTCGATCATGCAAATTGCAAACATTATCCTGTCTATAACCATTTCTTCCTTGTGTTTGAAAATGCATGGAAGCACATGCTTCTTTTCTTCCCCCAAACTAAAAAAGGAAATATACAAATGGAAGCAAGTTGTTTGAGGGGGATGGAGAGGGAGAGGGAGAGGGAGAGGCCCCATAAACACTGCCAAATGTTGTGTTAATGGCGGAGACTTGGCAAGGCAAGACATGGGGACAACACCCCATCTCTTCGCTTTCTACTTTCTCACCTGCACACCATAGGAAATATAATATAGCAATCATAGGTTTCTTTAAGATAATACATTAAATATGATTACGACGCAAGAAAACGGCACTGATACACGGATTGTCAAGTATATTTGGAGGCAACTAGCAAGTTTTTACTGGTAGTAGGATGAGAATAGAGAAAGAAATTAAGCATCAATTCATTACTTTCATTTTCCATTACATCCACCATGACTTAAAAGCAATTCTATAATTTAAAAGTCACGAGAGAAATGAGGTACCTGCAAAAAACAATTCTATAATTTAAAGAAACCTAATTCAATCAACTGCCAAAACTGAAATCTAAAGAATTTCCAAAGTTGTGCAACTGTGAATAGACCTGTTGCAGTATAAACTTATATCCAGCATCCAAGACTCGAAAATTAACTTTGACTAATATTGAACAGGAAATACTTATGAAATATAATAAATCTCCAAATGGACATCATCATAAGATGGAAAGAGACGACTCTGATCCATCATGTGGTACTTCCAGTTTTGCTATGTTATCGAGGCACACTGAGACCTAGTTCTGTACAAAATTATAAAAACAAGTAGCATTAGCAAGCAATATAGGAAAGAAAGTAAAAGAAGAGGTTTCTTTGAGTCAATTGTGAATAAAACTACATTATTATGTAAACATCAATAGGGTCCAGAAACAATCCCGTATATACTAAAACTATTTCAAGGTATGGTGGCACTTGAGAGTTAAAGCAGCTGCTACCAAATAGCATGATGAGCAATTACACTTACGACGCATAAAACAATAGATAAGAGATAACTTGTCACAGGAGCAACCAAAACTGGCAATAAGACTTGATAAATACAGATAACTAGAGTGCAAGAAATGAAAGCAGTTAGAACGATTTGTATGACCCTACATTTCCTATAAAGGAATGTTTCACATTGATTTCCTGCAACTAAAATTTTAAAGATTAAATTCTTCTCCTTAACAAAACAGGGTTTCTTGATAAGTTTATACTGTCCAAGTAATGGTCTGACAAATACAAAACTCTATCTCACAATTATAAGTACATTTAATTATTTATTTCAACAGGAGAAAAGTAAAGTTTTGCATTGACAGCTCCATTTAAATTTAGTATCAAATGACAATGAGGACAGAAAAGGGCCTAAGTTGTAAAACATTCTTCATTGACAGACAAGAATCACACAAGGTTATAGATCATGTTGAAAAGAAAAACAAGCACAAAACGAAACAAAATTGACACCTATTCACTTATACGTATATGTTATCTGTATCATATAGGGAGTCTATTAGATTACAGTATATGCAGAAAGTAAATGGTCAACATAACTAGAGTCTATATTCCCAATCATATTAGAGTATAAAACAATCTTTAACTTCGATTGATAAAGCAAGAACTAAAAAAAAAGGAAAGAAAGTAAGTGTATAGTGTAAAAAGCTATAAATCATACACAATCCACTCATACGATGTGAACACCCCGACTCAAGGTGTGTCTTTGTTTGTATCTACCCCTGTTCCAATACACTCAACTTATGAAATCACCATACATGCACATCTCACTCACTTGATAGAATAATTTAGTCTTCCCTAAGTTGTCTAGCTCTTTTTATTGGACAACCCCCTCCCCCCTTTTTTACTAATCTCTATTAGATTAACTTCATTCCAATATACAGTTGAAACCAAGCACAGCAGACTTTGTCTGCCCTATTTGTTTAATTGTTATCTAACTGAACACAAGAACAATAGAGACCTTAATGTCTTCACTTTCACTTGGTTCAGACTATAAAAAAACAGTTAAGAAAGGGAAAACTTATACATTAAGATAAGAACTACAAAAGAGATGCAGCAAAAAAAAAGAACGGACAAATGGTCTCAAAATTGCTAGCTTTCAGTGACACTTAATGGGACACGAACATCATGATCACGAGATTAGACAACCTAAACAAACAACACTGCTTTACGAATTAACTTTAGAGTTTAAAAAGTTGCTTAGGGAAACAAAATTACAAACATTTTTGGAGATAATCAAACTCCTGGGTTTGCACTGCAAAGCATACCCTGAGACAATGACCTAGAGCTCCTCGAATCGATTCCCAGACACGACGTTAACCGAGCTGAAGACACAGCTGAGTGGAGAGGTAACAGAGATTGAAGACAACCCAATTGAGAAACAGACCTGAAAAAATTAAAGCTTGAAAATTTAGAAGCAAAGCTAGGTAATTTAAAGGAAACACAGAGGATAAATTAAAGGGTTGAAATTAATAAATTTGGAGAAATGAAGGAGCCTATACTTAAAGATGAGATTCTTAAAGGGCTTACCTTGAGAATGTGGTAGAGGAGCGAGCAGGAAGTAGAGGAGAAGGAGGTTTGGGTTTAAGGGTTGGTCTGTTAATGGTGGATTTGACGATAGAGAAGGTTGGTTTTGAGAGAGATCTGAAGCGAGTCGCCATTTTTTGAAGAACGATAAAGCAGCAGTGAAAGGGTTAGGACTTGGGAGGAAGTTGAGGGCTTTTGTCGGGTTTTAGCAGTATAGGTTTCGTCGAAGGAAATTACCAAAAGGTGATTGCAAAGGACATTAATTACTAAAACTCACTCTCCCTCTAAGTTATTACCGAACCTAATTATAATTCAATAACCTATTTAATAAATTTTGGCATTTTGTTAAAAAACTCGACGAGAATTATCATTTGATAGATAAAAATATTTTTATCGAAACAAAATGCAAAAACTGCTTAGTTGAATCACCAACTTTATAAGAACAATTTTTTTAAATTTTTAAATAATAATAAATAACATTATTTCCTTTTGAATTCCCATTAAATAAAACTAAATCATACCTAATAAACTTATTGTAGGAAAAGCAGCCCCATCAATGGTTAGGGTACATAATAATCATATAAGAAATGAGCAAACTGGTGTTCTAACAACAATTCCAATTGGTATTTCCAACTCCTACCAATGAATGGTTAGATATCCTCATCTACCAACTGCTTTGATTTGTTGTATTGCTTGTTCCACAATTCATTAAAGGATAGTCCTCCGCCGAAAAATACTAGTCGTGAAGCAGTTAGACTCGTGACAGAGGAATGTGGATGGGCAGCAATACAGGGATTTATTTCTTCATGAACATCAGAGTAAGTTCAACTTTCCTGTCACTGAATCAACTGCCACTTTCGATCCTGCACAATCACAAAAAAGGATGTATGACAAAAAAGTGAAAGTGAATTGCAACATACATAGGTGTGGAAGCTGCATTTTTTATCATTTCTCATGCCATTTTAATCTACTATGCAATGGACTCATCATGGAATATAGTGAAGTATCTATCAAGGAAAAGAAAATACGACATCAATTTTAGAAGAAAATATAAAAGAAACAAACCAGGTCCAATGGCAAGAACTGTCTTTGACCCTGCTGAAACCTGTTCAATAAAGCTGTTATGAGACCTTGGCCCCAAATTTTTCTTCCAAATAATAAGCACTATGAAATTACTACTCAAATATCGAATTCAAGAAATTAAACAATCATACACAATGATGCTGTAGAAAAAACTGAAAAACCGCTTAGAGTCCTTACACTAATAGAACCTCAAACAACTAAAAGTTGCCATTACATCAGGATAACGAGTCTATTGGTTCAGATATGCCTTTAGACTTATAAGTTGCCATTACATTCAGGTAAACTAATTGTGAGATTACACGAATTGATTCAGAAAAATACCTGTGTTCTTCCAGCGTCAGCAACAACAAAAGTGGGAAGGCCAATATTCTCAGCTGCTTCCCTTAGCTTATTCCTGACAAGAAAATGAAAGTACACTTACACAACTATTGACCTAAGTTGATATAGACGGTGAGAACCCCCCCCCCCCCAACAACCAAATTCCTAACAAAATCACCCGCTTACATTTCTTGTTGATTCCTGCATGTGACAACAATTTTGGGTTGCCCGCAATCCTCCCATTGCCTTAGAAGGGATCGATCACTGCAATATTTTTACATGATTGACTGTTGATCAAATAATTCCACTTGCACAAGTAACTATCACGGATAAGAGGATCTTCCAATAAAGCAAGGTCACAAAGTGAATATCAAATTAAGAAACTGACTTGTTATCAAGAGAAACGTACCTATGCATCAATTCTGCATACATGCCAGTGGCAGCATCTGTATATTTGGGCAGGAAAGATTCAGTCAAACAATTGAAGGTTAGGCTATATGGAATCGTGACAGTGGGAGGGGAGTGGGTGTGTGTGGCTGAGGAGATAATGTTAGTAAAGCCAAAAAGTCATAGATTTTAAAATCGAAAGCAAAATTTCAGATTTTAAGAGTAACAAAGGAATCTTACGGGCGCATTGAGATGCAATCTTCCCTGATTTCATCTTAAGGTCTTGTCTAACCACTAAAACCTGCCATAAGCAGTTCAAGACTCAAAAGTTTAGAGTTCATGAATACCATTAGTCATTACTTTTGGGTAATGCCTAATTTACTAATCATGAAGACAAATTTAAGTCAACAAATTCAGGAAAGCGCATGGAATTATACAATCAAGTTAAGCATTCGGAGGAAGAGAAGAAAAATTAGCTTCTAGGAATGAGTACACCAAACAAGTAAACCAACAAAGCAATTCCCTTTACACTAAAAGGAATTCAGTCATCAAAGCAGCCTAAATACACTAAAATTCCAGAGCATTTGTTATCAGTGAAAATTATTAATAAAATTCTAAGAAGTGACAATACAAAAGGAAGGGGAAAAACATACCAATTTAAGTTCTTGGTCAGCATTTGAGGAAACAAGGTCATGTTCTTGAAGCTTTCCAGGTAGGAAATTCTTCTTCTTGGAAAGGGTTTTAGTGGGTTTAGACAAATCCCAAAATAACCCAAGTATGAAACCGATAACAAGGCCCGGAATAAAGTTTTCGGGTTTGAAACTCACTCCTAATATTTCATTTTTCCGCTTCTGCAGCTTCTGATATCGCACAAGTACTATCGATTAGTACAAATAAAATATAAAGAGCTAAAAACAAATAAGAAGAAGCGAGAAGTACCTTGTTTGAAGGTTGAGAAGAGTTTGGAGTGGAAGCCCACATGATCTTTCACAACACAGACTGAATTGGGTTTTAACAGTTATGAGGGAAAACGGGAGTTTTAGAAGAATGCCAAGAGATAAAATGACGTCGTCGCGGTGGCCTTCGAATACACCGCTACTCTTTTACTTTCTAACATGATAACCTACGTCTTTCCTAACATAATCGCCACAAATTAGAGGGTCAGGTTGGCAATACTTTTAAAAAGTAATTTTAAAAGTATTGTAAAAAAATATTTTTTAAAGTGTTATTTAAAGTATAATTTAAAATTTTTAAAATTTTTAGGATTGTTGTTAAAAATAAGTTTGAAAAGATAAAATATTTATCATAACTATTAGGTTATAAATTAAAATATAAAATTTTAATTATATTTACACTTATTAATACTTAGACCTCGTAAATTTGGCTTGAACTCGATTATCTGAATTGATTTACCTGAACTGAGACCCAAACAAGATGACCTAAATTTGACTCGAAACTCAAAAAACTGAATCGAGTCAAAACCGACCTGAATTTTAACCAAACTAAAACTAACTCAAATTTAATTTATCTAAACCTGATTTGAATCAAACATTGACCCGATTTTAACTTGATAATTAAATTAAAATGTATAAAATAGTAAAATAACTTATTAAATTCCTTTTCAATTTATTTAAATCAAATTATGAATATTAATGAGTTAATTGCATCATATGTCCTCAATCTATCACCCTCATTTCAAATTAGTCCCTAAGCATTTAAATATTTCAATTTCATCCTTAAACCATGACTATTATTCTAAATTAGTCCTCAAACTTTCATTTTCATCCACAACCTATGATTTTCATCCTAAATTGGTCCCAATTTTTTTTTTTTGAATATTTTAATTTTATCCTAAATTATACGTATATACTAATTACATCTCTTATTAATAAAATCATTAAACAAGTTAAACTACTATATGTTTGAAAAAAATAGATTAAACTATGGTTTAAATAGATTATTATATTTTACTTTGAACTACTAAAATAACTTTCCAGACTAACTACAAGGAATTTCATCTTTTGCATACAAAAAAATATAGTTATTTAAATTTAATATAAATATAACTTATTTAATACTACACAAATAACTTATTTTTATAATATTAATCTATCCATTTTTTATAATTTAAAATTAAAACATTATCAATGATATAATAATATAATATCATTTATAGATATATTTAGAATAATATTTATTCAAACATAATATTTATAATTAAACATCAAGTATCTAATTTAAAATTTTAATAGATAATAAAATTTATAATTAAGAATTTTGTTTTTTAATCAAATAGATAGTACCATAAACTTTTCAGTCTGGATCAATAAAAAATATCACAAACTCTAACATATCTTATAGGTCGAGTTTGAATTAAACTATAATTAGTAAATGATAAATTGAATTTGAATGAAAGTGAACACAAATGATAAGATTTAAAAGAATTTTTTTTTTACAAAAATATATCAATAATTCTATATATATACTTGATTTGACTTATATCCAACTTAAACCAAAATGACCTGAAGATCTAAAGTTGACTCAAATAAAAAATAACAGATCGAATATTGATCTGACATGAAAATCAACCGATCTGAAATCAACTGATCCGATATTGACCCGACCTGATACCCGAATTACTATAAACCCAAATAAAATTAAAACCCGAAATAATTGAAATAAATTATTTTTTAAAGATGTTCATATTAAATTATTAAAATAAAATGTAAATACATAATTGAGTGGAGCCCGTGCATTAATAAGGTTAAAATTATAATTTGCTCCCAAACGCAAATTTGAAAATGAAAAGATACAAATCTTAGCTTTTGCGGTTGGTTTGAAACCACTGTTTCCACCGTAATTTTTTTTCTTCATTTTTACCCGTTTGACATTGATTTTGTGGTCAAAATAGATTTTTCAACTAAAAGTGCGTCTAAAAAGCTACGCCAAACAGGGCCTTAATGTAAAAATAAATATCTAAGTTATACTCAAAATAAACTTATAGTGTATATTTTCTTTTGTAAAACATGTGTATCTAATGTGTTGAATTAAGATTTTGATATAACAATAATTTGTAAAATTGATTTTGGACTTAATTGAATTGATTAGAACTTTATTGAAAAAAACTCAAAGTCTAAATTTACTTGAAAAATATGTTTTAAATGTTTTTCAACTTAGTGAACCTTTTCAAAAAAAATACTCAATTATTTTCGCGTTTTAAAGTTAAGTTTCCAAGCTTTTCTGGCTCAAAGGATTGATCCCTTACAAAAAAGAATCGATCCCTTTGACTAATGAATAGATCCCCTTGAAAAAAGGATCGATCTCTTGGATTCTAGTAGGTTTGGGATCGATCCCTTTACAAAAATGATCGATCCCTTTGACCAATGGATCGATCTCCTTGAAAAATGATTGATCCCATAGATTCCAATAGGTTTGGGATCGATCCCTTTACAAAAAGATCTATCCCTCGAGTAAAATGATTGATCCCTTCACCAAAAGGATCGTTCACTTTCACAAAAGGATCAATCCCTTGTGCATTAAATATTGTTTTTGGTTGTAAGAAACAATTATAATGATCCCCAAAGGCTCCAAACAACTACAATTAATGAAGAATGTATAAATTGAAGGTCAAAGCTTTCCAAGGTTAATAAGAAACATATTGAACCAATCTACCAACATCAAAGTTTTTGTGTGTGCTTAATTTATTAAATTCCTTGTTGTAAACACACTTTTGAGTTTCATTGTTTATTTTTCTCAAGTGTGATTTGGGTGAGAGCTTAATTAGTGCAAACACAATTGTCTTGTGAGATTTTCTCTTTGTTTCCTTTATTTGTAATTCCTTTTTTGGAAAGAGTGTAAATAAGGTTTTGGGGTATAAAACTATTGAGTTAATCGATCTATGAATATGACCAAGAGGGGGGTGAATTGGCAAATAAAAATTCCGGTGGAAGTTTGTGCAGAAAATTGAAAGTAATTGCGCAGCAATTTAGAGTGGTTCAACTTTCTCAACCAAAGTCTACGTCCACTACCTTAGCTATCCACACTAAGGATTTTCCGCAAATTCACTTATTTGTCTTTCTTTTGAGGACAAAGAGTAACCTTACAAATCCCTCAAGAATTATACCCCAAATTCTTGAGAATACTCTCTCCCAAAGAGAACAATACAAATTTTGCAAACTTACAAGAAAATCCTCACAAGGCAAGATGTTTACACAATTCTAGAACAAAGAAAGAACACTCAAGAATAATACAATTGAGCACAATAAGTGTTCTTGAAAGCAAAAATGAATATTGAATGAAATAGGCTTGAAAATGCTCAAACTTGAGGTTTGATGCTTTCTCTTTGATTCTCTCTTGATTCTTGTTGATACTTGTTTCTTGTTTTTGATCAATGGCTTCTAAGCTTGTTTAAATACACCTTCAAATGATTCTGAACGTTGGGGATGATTAGTGGAGTCAATAGAGCCGTTTTAGTGTGAAATCAATTAATAAAACAGCTTGGAGTGTGGGGGGGAATCGGTACCCCCTCATGGGGAATCGGTTCCCTAAGTGTAAAATTCAAATATTTTGACCGTTAAACAGGGGGGAATCGGTACCCCCTTGGGGGGAATCGGTACCCCCTTGGGGGAATTGGTTCCCTCTGAGCATTCTATTTTTCTCAGAGCCAAACCATTCAGGGGGAATCGGTACCCCCTTGGGGGGAATCGGTTCCCTCTGGACATTCTGAAATTTTTGGCTTTGAAACGGTTCGAAATACTTTGTAAAATTGTTTTGAAATAATTTTAAGATTAAAACTTAATTTTACACTTGAGTAATGATTAAAAATGACTTTTGAAAGTTTTGGAGTAATATTTTGATATTTGAATAATTATATCGAATATACTTAGAAAATCTTTTTGGAAAATCTTAAAATTCATTTATCTTAATTTGTTATATCGAAATATCAAAATATTTTCAACAATCTCCCTCTTTTTGATATAACAAAACATTTTAGTAATTTTAAGATTTTGAAATCAAGTTTTGAAATTACTCCCCCTTACTCTAACACTTCTCCCCTTTAAAACACTTTAACATTTCTCCCCCTTTTTGTTAAATCAAAAAGACTTTTAAAAGATTTTAAACAAGGTTTTGAAATCATTTAATCAATTGATTATAAATATATATATAGCTTAAGATGCTAAGATCACAATCAAGAGAAACGTTAGCCATTAGTTTCATAATCAATATTCATAAACAATGTGACATGGCAAAATTGGGCATATATCTAGATGTAAATGATGCAATAATGAATAAATTTAACCAAACCAAATATATAGAAATATAAGTTCAAACATCCATAAATTCAAACAAATTCAAAGTCAAACAATCCACAAATTCAAACATTCCAAAATATCCAAAATGTTAAAACAAAAAGTTTGAAGTTTTGATCCATTAAAGATAAGCAATAACAGGGCCTAATCGTCCATCGGTGCATCAGGAGGAGATAAATGTGACCAAATATTGGTCACATCACGTGAAAGTGCATCGACCCTTTCGTCCAACGAATCAAAACGACGATTCATCGTTTCGGTTGTAGCAGTCAGATTTGAATCGATAGATGCAAGCCTCAAATCAATGTTCTCCATAAAAGATCAAAAGTATGGAGACATTTGATACTCTGGACTAGGTTGTTCCTCTGGAGGTGCTTGTTCATCGCGCTGCTATGGCTCATTATCGGAGTCGTTTTCTTTCGGAGGTTGCTCACCTGTATGAACCCAAAGACCAGTTTCTTCATTGATCTTCCATCCCGATTTAGTTAAAGAAAATAGATTGATTTGGTTTTTGAGGGGAAAGGAAGCATCAAGACCAACTCTAAGCCCAGCCTTCTTAAACACATTACTAAGAATACAACCGTAAACTAAAGAAGAACATAATTTCTTATTGGGAACAAGATTTACGGTTTCAACAAGTTCAACAAAATAATCTGTGGAAGGTTAATTTTGAGATTATTTTGTACACAATGAAGCCAAAATAGATCTAAGGCTCGAAGAGTAGAGTAACGGCCTCCGGATGGTCGAAACCACCAAGAGATCATTAGGTGAAAAAAATGGTCATGAAGGTCTAGAACACTTGCACTATCCCTTCGCTTATACTGAGATCCTACCGTAAGTTTTTCATTATCTAACCCTTCATTATCTAATCCTAATGCTTTGGCAATGGATTCTGAGTCAAGATGAAAGAATCGTCTTAGAAGATAGGATCGGATTCCTATGGTTAAGGTTTTCTCTCGGTTTTTAATGCAAACGACATTATAGTAGAAGATACGAACAAGTTGATGGTAGACAATTGGTTCAAGCTTGAAGAGTTTGTCAAATTTTCACCCATGAAGAGTAGGAAGATGACGAAAATTGATGTCTAACATGGCTTGAAGAGATGGGATACGTTCTTCCCGGATTTTGTAGGACTCAAAGTATTGACAAAACCTAAAGTAGAGATTTTGTTTACGACCGGGTTCATTGAAACAAGAATTGCGAATGGTCATGTTTGGATCATCGGAATTAGGAATAGGAATTTGTGGGATAGGTGGAGGATTTGGAGTTGAGTTTGGAGGTTGGCTAGAACGACTAGAGGAAGCCCTAGAACGTTTATGAGACATGATTTAAGATAATCGGAATAGAAAGATAACCTGCAATTTTAAAAACATATGTATGCAAAATAATCAATCTCAAAACTCAATTGAGTCCTCAATATTTCAAGGTTCTTTATACCACTCCTAATGGGCAAAGTTTTTGAAAACTATTGAAAAATAAGGTTTTGAGAATCAATATATATAGTTTTCATAATAACAACATAATTAAAAACAAAACAATTTGAAAATATAATTTTTTTTTAAATTTTGAAAATTTTCAAAATCTTTGAAAATTCTTGTATTTTTGATGAAATTAGTTATATAATCGAGTTTCTAATCACTAAACAATCAATGCCCGATCTAAAGTTCAACCTAGAACTAATTAAAACTAGTTCTAAAATAAAAAAATTGATGAAATAGAAGTTTTAGAAAAATATCTTGAAGAATTTCGGATTTGAGTGAGATTAGATGAAGTTTGCACGCTTTTTTATGATTCCAACAGGTTTAGGAGATGATATTTGAAGAGAATTCCGATTAAAAATGTTGTTTTGATGAAATATAGAGATAGTGAGAGAGTAGAGAGGAGAAACGATGTGAAGAGAAGAAGAGAGGGTTTTAGTTTTTGGGGTGTTCTACCCGTGTTAAAACCAGAACCTCAGGGGGGTATCGATTCCCCTACAGGGGGAATCGGTTCCCCTTCAAGGGGGTATCGATTCCCTCTGCACTAAAATGCTAAAATCTGATTTTTAAACACTCAAAATGCTAAATTAATTTTCTCTAGTGGTATTGGCAACTCATATATTGAAAATTAATCATGTTCAATCAATCAAATTTATCATTAAAAAGTATTTGAACATAAAGTTAATTTTCACCAAAAATCATAAACTCCCCCTAACTAAAAGTAATGAATGCAATCAAAAAATTACTATTATATGCAGTTTTCATTTATTCTTAAAAGTGCTAAAATTATTTTAAGCACTAAGTGAAGATAGGTTAGTTAAACCTAATTCTCTCCTAAGTGTCCAAAAAACGTTCCTTGTCTAAAGGCTTTGTAAAGATATCTGCTAATTGATGCAAAGTATCAACAAATTCTAGAACTACATCTTCCTTAGTGATATGGTCTCTAATGAAATGATGTCTTATTTCAATGTGCTTAGTTCTAGAGTGTTGGATGGGATTTTTAGTGAGACAAATAGCACTAGTATTGTCACACTTGATAGGAATGGTACCTACTTCAATTCCATAATCAAAAAGTTGTTGTTTCATCCATAAAACTTGTGCACAACAACTACCAGCTGAAATGTATTCGGCTTTAGTGGTAGATAATGCAACACAATTTTGTTTCTTTGAAAACCAAGAAATCAACATATTTCCAAAGTACCGAAGGTGCTTTTCCTATCTAATTCGTATCCTCCATAATCCGCATCAGAAAAGGCATGCAAGCTAAAGCTAGAATCTCTAGGATACCAAAGTCCTAAACTAGGAGTGTCCTTAAGGTATCTAAAGATTCTCTTAACAGCTAGTAAATGTGATTCCTTAGGGCATGATTAAAATCTAGAACACAAGCAAACACTAAACATAATGTCCGGTCTACTTGTAGTTAGATAGAGCAAAGAACCAATCATTGACCTATATAATTTAACATCCACAAATTTACCTCATTCATCCAAGTCAAGCTTTGTAGAAGAGCTCATTGGAGTGTCATGAGGTTTCCCATTTTCCAGTCCAAACTTTTTGAGTATATCTTTGACGCATTTAGCTTGATTGATGAAGATGTCATCTTTTCTTTGCTTGATTTGGAGTCCCAAGAAAAATGAGAGCTCCCCCATCATGCTCATCTCGAATTCGCTTTGCATTAGCTTAGAAAATTCTTGGCAAAGAACATCATTAGTAGAACAAAATATTATATCATCAACATAAATTTGAACTACTAATAAATATTTACCTTTATGCTTTAAAAACAATATAGTGTCAACCTTCCCTTTTGAAAAACCTTTTTCAATTAAAAAGTTTGCCAATCTTTCATACCAAGCTCTAGGATCTTGTTTTAAACCATAAAGTACTTTTGTCAATTTAAGAACATGATCCGAAAATTTTGAATCTTCAAAACCTAGAGGTTATTCCACATACACTTCTTCTTTAATAAAACCATTTAAAAATGCACTTTTAACATCCATTTGATATAATTTAAATTCATGAAAACATGCAAATGCTAATAACATTCTAATTGCTTCCATCCTAGCTACGGGAGCGTATGTTTCATCATAGTCTATGCCATTTTCTTGAGTATACCCTTGAGTAATAAGTCTAGCCTTGTTTCTCACTATATTACCACTCTCATCAAGCTTATTCCTAAATACCCATCTAGTACTTACAGTAGATTTATTACTAGGCCTTTCAACTAATGTCCAAACTTTACTTCTCTCAAATTGATTTAACTCTTCTTGCATAGCCATGATCCAATGTTCATCATTTAATGCTTATTTAATATTCTTAGGCTCTATGCATAAGATAAATGCCACATAATTACAAATATTTCTAAGAGAGGATCGAGTTGTTACCCCTTTGGATGGATCACCTATAATCTCACCATCCTTGACATAGTTGTATTCCCTTGGGTAAGAGACTTCCCTTTCTTCAATGGTTGGATTCTAGAGAAGATCATGAGTTTCCTCATTTTTAGTTTTTTCCTTTGATGATGGTTCTCCAATGTCATGTCTAACGTCATTTGTATTTATAACACTTACATCATCATTCACACAAGAATCCTTCCTTAGAAGGAGGTTATCGTCAAAAACAACATGTATAGACTCTTCTACAACTAAAGTTCTTTTATTAAATACTCGATAAGCTTTAAAATTTAAGGAATAACCTAGAAAAATTCCTTAATCACTTTTAGCATCAAATTTGCCAAGATTGTCTTTACCGTTGTTTAAAACAAAACATTTACATCCAAAAGGATGAAAATAACTAATGTTAGGCTTTTTATTTTTAAAAAGTTCATATGGAGTTTTCTTCAAAATAGGCATAATCATTACTCGATTAATAACATAACAAGCAGTATTTGTGGCTTCCGCCCAAAAATATTTTGGCAAATTGTTTTCACAAAGCATGGTTCTAGCCATTTCTTCTAAAGTTCGATTTTTCCTTTCAACAACTCCATTTTGTTGAGGGGTTCTTGGTGGTGAAAAATTATGACTAATACCATTATAATTACAAAATTCAGTAAATCCAAGATTTTCAAATTCAGTTCCATGATCACTCCCAACACTAGTTATAGAGTAACCTTTTTCATTTTGGATTACTTTTGAAAACGTGATGAATTTTTCTAATGCTTCATCTTTAGTACTTAAGAATAGAACACAAGTATATCTAGAATAGTCATCTACCAAGACAAATGCATATTATTTTCCACCCAAGCTAGTAGTTCTAGATGGCCCAAAAAGATCTAAATGGATCAATTGCAATACTCTACTAGTTGATACATCATTAATGGATTTAAAAGAAACTCGCTTTTGTTTTCCTTTAGCACAAGCATCACATATTTTATCATTATCAAATTTCAGTTTAGGCAGCCCTCTTACTAAGTCTCCTTGAATTAACCGTTGCAAAACACTCATACTAGCATGTCCTAGTCTCCTATTCCATAACCAACAATCATGCTCATCCTTAGCAACTAGGCATAAATTAGTCATATCAATAGAGTCTAAATGCACCATGTATATGTTTCCTATTCTATGACCAACAAGCATAATTCGATTAGATGCAATGCCAATAACTTTACAACCATTGGTTTCAAACATGACATTGAATCCTTTATCACATAATTGACTAATACTCAAAAGATTATGCTTTAATCCATTCACATATAAAACATTCTTAATTTGTATGGAAGAGGTATTACCTATAGTGCCTCTACCTTCAATGTGACCTTTTGAGTTATCACCAAAAGTCACTTCTCCTCTATTTTTGGCTTTAAGCTCAATAAACCGGCTTTTTTCCCCAGTCATGGGTTTCCAAAATCCTAGTCCCCTTAGGTATCCATTTGTGTAGGATATCTTTATCTTTAGTAGTAATGAGTCCTTTAGGAACCCATATACTTCTAACGATTTTTTCATTAGAGGTTATTCGGGGACCTCTATGATTGTAGTTTTTAAAACTTTTTTCTAACAAAGTTGGATTTTGAATTTTCTACTTTTTCAAAACGTTTTGTTCCAACTTTATCAAAATAAGCTTTAAGATCATCAATTTTCTTTTGATGATTATCATTGACATTTGAAACTAAATTTTGCAAATCCGAATTTTTCTTTTCAAACTCTTCTAGTTTGATTTGCAAATATTTGATTTTACTTTCAAGATCGTTGTTGGTTTTGGATATGAGTTTATTTTCATTTTTCAATTTTGAAACATCATTTTTATATTTTAAAAACAATTTCTCATAATTCGAAGCCAACCCATTATATTCCTCTAATAGCTCATCATAAGATAAATCATCAAATTCAGATGAGTTAGAGGTTACCTTAGAATCTTCCCCGAATGCCATTAAGCACAAGTTTGCTACTTCTTGTTCCTTTTCATCGGAACCTTCTTCATCGCTCCATGTAGCCACATGATCCTTGTGCTTATTCTTTGATTGACCCTTTCTCTTCAATTGTGGGTAATCATATTTGACATGCCCCGACTTTTTATATTCATAGCAAATGATCGGGTCCTTCTCTTTTGGTTCATTTTTGAGGCCTTCATTTCGTTTGAATTTTCTTCCTCGGTAAGGTCTCATCATTTTTCTAAACCGTTTGGCAAAAAATACCATTTCCTCGTCATCGTCATCTTCATCCGAATCACTCTCTTCTTTTGTGGATTTGAGATCAACTCCAATGTTTTTCTTCTTCTCCTTCTCATTTGGTGTCTCTTCAATCTTATCGAGTTTTACCTCATCTTCAAGCATCATTTCATGAGTGAGGAGGGAACCGATTAGCTCTTCAAGAGTTAAGGACTTTAGGTTCTTAGCCTCGATGATTGCAGTCTTCTTGGATTGCCATAATTTTGGAAGTGAGTAAACTAACTTCCTCACAAGCTTTTCGTTTGGAATAATCTCTCCATATGATTTGAGACCATTGACAATCGTTGAGAATCTATCCATCATAGCTTTGATATCTTCATTTGGTTTCATCCTTAAATTTTCATAGCTATGTGTTAGAAGACTAATTTTAGATTCTTTTACCTCGTAGGTGCCTTCATGAGTGACTTGTAGTTTATCCCATATTTCTTTGGCGGTTGTACAAGATGAAACTCTTTCATATTCATCTGGTCTAAGAGCACAAAATATGATATGGATGGCTTTGGAGTTGAGCTGGAACATTCTTGTCTCTCCTTCACTCCACAATCTTGGATGAGTGAGAGGCTTGATATATCCGTCTTCTACAACATTCCATGCTCCCATGTTACTGGTTTGAATGAAATTCATCATCCTATTCTTCCAATAGGCATAGTTAGCTCCATTGAAGAAATGAGGCTTGTTGACGGGCATCGAATCGAGACCGGAGTCGACGTTTGAAGTAGAGGCCATTGATGACTTTAATTATCGATGTAACTCTTCCCGGATCTACTCAAGAGGCGGT